AAGCTGCAGATTGAGTAGGCCTATATAAAACTTACTAAGCCAGCATAGTTATGCTCAATCTTATCCCATTCAATAAATTGTATGGGCTCTTTTGCTAATGAAGTTACTTTATCGTATTGATACATTATGTATTAGGATAATCATTGTCTTATCAAATCAATGTTTAAACATGCTTATTCTGAAGGGGGTGGGGGTGTGTGTACGCAGTAATTAAGCGAAGTAGCTACTTTTGGAATGAGTTTTTTGTCAAAAGTCCCTTCGAGGTATACACCCCTCCCCCTTGCTGCAAGGGTGCATGTGACATGTGATATCAAGCACACACAGCAAAAAGAACATTCGCCTTTTCAGGCAAGCTAATAGTCGGATGGACAAAACAATGTTATTTAGCACCTTTTTTGTAAAAGGCAGTGGAGGCGGCGAAGGGGGAGGGGGGGGGGAGCTTAATGACCCAAATTTCATAGGAACGAACTGTGCTCCTTTTAGAAATATACTATTGATAGAGCTCGTTTTCAAAGCTATCATATGCCCCCTCTCTTAAGAATTGTGTCTTTTTTTAAATAAAGGTTTGCCCCTTTCAACTACCATGACATATTCCATTTTAATTGCTAAAAGAGGCATTTTCAACCTTTCATCCTCTAAAGCCCATGTCATTTTGAACTTCATAGAATGCCAAGGTATTTAGTTGCCCTTTGTTCAAAGATATCAAGGTTTAGACAATGTAGGAGTTTTCAATCCCAAGGCAGCTGCATCATTACATTACCAAATGTCATTCATGTTAAAAAGACAGAGACATAATTATTATTCGTGCTTTGACAAGATTTTGCTATCATCCCAGGGGAGTGTTTCACAGAGACTAAGATCGACTAAAAGTTTAGCCTCTTGTCGATGGCCCTCGCGTTGTTGGAGTCCGTAAATTCTGGCGAGCGAAGCGAGCCAAAGATCTAGAAACCCTCGCGAGCACTTCGGTTTCTCTGGCTTGCTTCGCTCGCCAGAATTTACGGACTTCAACAACGCGAGGGCCATCGACAAGAGGCTACTAAAAGTTGGACTTAACTATGGCAGGCCGTTCACGCCACTGTTTGATCTTACCATTATGATCTTTACATAATATTTTTTTCCTTCAATAATAAATTATAAAAACATGTAAATTCTGTAAATTTGTGAACATGATTAATTCTGTAAGTCCCTTGAGAGATCAATGCCAGTATATTATGGTTAGAGTAAACAGTGGCATGAACGACCTGCCATATAGTAAGTTCAACTTAAAGTTGATTTTAGTCTTTGTGAAACACTCCCAAGATATTCCCGGAAACCACAGACTTCTCACACACCCCCTAACATGTGCATTCCCTATCAAAATTCCTCCAAAACTCACTCGCTACGTTCGCTCGTATTAAGTTTAGGCTCGTCAATAATTATTGAAGGCCTTATTGTGTATACAGTGTAAGATTGTTCTTAAGATTGTTTATTTCATCTTAATATGAGAACTAATCGATTGCAATGTGACATCGCTCGCGGATGAATAGACCATTTAGACTAAGTAAAGAGAACTTCTTGAAGATTGTCCCTGATAATGATTGTATTAATTACAATGTAGTGTTATATACAATGTCTAAATTCGTTATTTAGCGCTTTGAGGCTATACCCTTTATTCATTGGTGCCCCCTTTCCAGGCCCAGAAAATGCCCTTTTAATGTGTGCCGGGCTCACGATCAATTGGGAAAAAAGAATTTTCATTTTCGGTTTAACTTAATACAATTTGGAGTGGACTTTAAAGGTACTATGTCCCATTTGTAGCCCAAATAAATGAAAAGGTTAAATTCCAACGCCATTTGAAAGATAATACTAATTTAGAACTTCCCTAAAAAAGGTGGGGCTTGAAAATGTCTTCAAGTGGGAAAATAATGACTATTAGTTGTCAAATTGACTTAGGAGCTATAGAGCCAATAAGTAATAGTCTTGATTTTCAGGCCATTGTACCGAATGGTCATACGTTTTATGCTGTGCAAAGATTCAATCAGTTTAATTTTGGCCATCACAAAAAGTGGGTTATTGATGTAGACAAAATGCTCATGTACCCTTTACAGCTCATTTAATATGTTATTATCAAAGAAGAAAAAAAGCCATTCAGTCACTCAATAGAGTCTGACAGTGAAGTCTAGCAAGTAAACAGCTAGGTTTCCTTGCATAATTTGAATATTAGGACACTGCTAAAGTTTAAATTTCACAGATAGGACATGTCATAACATATTCATAATTCCTGCAAAGTTCTACAGAATTATGAGGTTGGCTGCAAAAGGGACATAGTACCTTTAACAGATTATTATTATTATTATTATTATTATTATTATTATTATTATTATTATTATTATTTTCTTTGGTAAATAAAAAAAAACTAAAATAAAATTAAAAAAAACTAAAAATATTAATTACGGCTCATTTTTCATCTCTGTCTTATTCACCCTCTCCACCTCTCGTGACCCCCTCTGTCGTCACTCGTCACTCTCTCTCTCTCTCTCTCTCTATCTCTCTCCCCTCTTTCTTTCTCTCGACCTCTCCTTTTTTTCCTCTCCGTTTCCTACCCTCATCCACCTATCGCATTTTTCTAAAATGGCAATCCAACTCTTGTCATGATTCAATTAAAGCGGATAAAAAAAGAGAAACAGAATGGCGAAACTTTGAAACAAATCGGACCAACACTAAGAAAATTAAGAATGTTTGAAATATGAGGTCATTGAATCCATGCGAAAAATCAAATTTGGTAAGTCGATGACTGGGTTGTGACGTCTTAACGGACAACTCTCCTTTTTAGTAATTTTGTGTTTGAACAAACGAAAAAAGTTGTCCGGCACTTTGAAACTGTTGATTCAGCCGATTTGACAAGCCCAGTACGTAATAGTGCATGGTTACAATTTTCAAAAATTCATAACTCTCTCATTTATAGTTTGATTTCATTCAAACTTTCCCCTTTCTGCTTCTCTGATTTTTCTGCTTTCTTTCAATTACACTTCAATTATTTTCACAGGGTAACAAATTGTAATAAGAGCTCATGTATCATTTACTTTTCGTGGTTTATTCCCAAGCAGTCACTTTAAACGACATGGTGCACGTTGTACTTTACGCATCCCGCACTCCTACAGACAATCCTGGACCCACCCCTTCGAGATAGCTGACCCACCCCTTCGATGAGGATAGTTGCTCACAGATGAAGTGAGCTAAATGGCGTTTAGCATGATCTTTCTTTCCTTCTTTCTTTTTTTTGGGGGGGGGGGGCTGGTCTAAACAATACAAAATGCTAAGAAAAATGTGGACATTTATACGTTTGACCCTGTTGCTCTATTGTAAAATTATTATTATAGATGGCGCTCTCCAAATTTTGGAGATTCAAGATCCATTTTCAAAACTTTAGAGGGCGTCATTATTTTAAATGATGCGTAATAACTCTACAGGACTGTGTTTAATGTCAAGATAAAAACATTTTAAAGGCAGTGTTATTCAACGTAGATGAAAGGCATCCCTTAGACATCTAAAGTAATTTAGTAGAAGTCTGTACAGCAACAAAGACTGTGAGTGATATAGGCCAAAAGAAATGCCTGAAGAAGGGCCCGAAATGGACAAAATGGTGCCTGGACGGTGATTTCGGAAAACGAAGAGTTAGGTAACTCTGATGGGATTCTAGAGAATATGCCTACGAAGTTTGATAGGGCACACAAGCACTACTCGCAAAGCGAATGATATTTGGGGAAGAAGATCAAGAAAAACACAGCGGAGTTCTTGCATGAACGATGGTTAAAAACTTTTTTTAAAGAGGAAACGCAACCAACGAAAAATGCAGGTATTTTGTAAAATGTATATACATGAAGCCTTGACAATAATTTGAATACATAACATATATAATTAACGCTACCTTCTCACCCCCTCACACATTTCCCTCTTCTTCATGCTTTTTCGAATTCCGTCATACAAAGATTGAGCAGCTACGCCATGACTTAACCCAGATATGGCCGGGGGGGGGGGGGGAGGGCATTATGCCTTCCTCCACGATTTTTCCGATTGTTCGGGAACGCATATGGATAGCGCCCCGCCGCTCGCTGACTTTTTCTTTCGAGTCTTGCGAATCTTTAAAAAAAAAAAAATTGAAAATCGGACCTACAGTTACAAGCTCACGGGACTTTTTGTCTTTGCATGTCAGCCCGAAAATCGCTAATTTTTGTGGTTTGTGTACAAAACATATGGAAATGTCATTTTTCCTAAAAATAGATCAAACATTGGTTATTGGGTCTTGTTTAAAGTTTAGGTGGTTGTTTTGGGGTCAAAATAGTTGAATTGTGGTAAGAAATGAATTAAAACAAAAAAATCAAAAAATACATAAGTTAAAAAAACAATGAAATACATAAGAAATTATCAAAACAAGAGATAACATAAGGAATAAGCTGGCTCTTCCAATTTTTGTTGTCGTATTATTATTCCAAATGGTCCAATGAATATATGCAGTGAAAAAGAATGCTTAAATATGAATAATATATGATTTATGGGTAAACATGTGATTTTATGACCTTATTTGCATAAATTACCATAATAAGCAAATGAGCGAATTTTTCAAAAAATTGAAATTATCATATTATTTTATACACTTCACTTGACATGCGTGCAAATTTTCGCGGAGATCGGCCGTTTCACGGCCGAGATCTAATTAAGGGGGGGGGGGCATATTGCCCCCCCCCCAGGCCGTACTTAGACCTCAAATAACCCGGCCTGTTTAGGGTTAAGCTGAAGCAAAGACATTTTGTGTCCTCTTCCTGCGATGGAAATGTGGTCAGAGAGAGTCAGCTCATTCTCAAGCGGAACACCCCCTCGTTTTCAATCTTTTTCAAAATAATTGTCTGCAAGTTCGAGGTAATTGTAATATCTATACCACTACCAACATCAGCAATAACAAACTGATCAGCAACAACTACCTCAACAGCAATGGTGATAGTAAGACACAGTTTTCGTAGCAGTAAGTTTTCTTCATGAAGTTTATGTACACGTAAAGGTCCAACATTTATTGGATTAAAACATTTGAATAAAGTTGTGTTTTGTTTAATAACGTCTATTATTCGATCTTAGAACATGGTGATATACATTCGTTATCGTTTCAGAGATAGGAGAAACAGGTTCATTGTGTTTTTAGTATGTTTTATCTGTGAAGATAATCATATTTTGTTATACACAGACAGGTTTGTGCTGAACATTAATTAACATTAAAACTCATATATACTGCAAAATTTGGAGTATTTTGATGTTTGTCATAAACGATAATACTTACACATGCACGTACTCTTCAGTGTGATAGAGTTTTTCAGGCCTAATTATATGCATTTAATAAAATCTTACTCAGGACAGGGCAAGGAGATATCATATTATGATCTGACATTGACAGTGCGATTTCTGCTTGATAAAGTTTATACTTCTCAGAACATTAATGATCAATCTACAGACTGATGCATAGAGATTGATCAATGTAGTTCTAGGATAATTATAATCCGTTCCATGAAGAACAAATCACATCAAAATCATTCAAATGAAAAGAGGTAAATACAAATCATTCCAACTTTATGGGCAACAGTGTTTATATACACAAATATAATTATATATGTTCCAATCCACTGAATTCAGCAAAAACACATCAATATTTTTCAAGTTTCTCTCAAAAAGTGGACTATCAGTGTTGTATTACTTAATTGCGCTGGACTTGGACTCGAGTCGATGGTATTGTACACAACTCAAGTTAAAATCTTTACAAGCCGCAATAAAGATAATGTCAGGTTTTTGGACTGTCAATCAAAGCATTATCAATATCCATATATACATAGACATTTTACTGGAATGTCTTTCGAAAGCTCATATTCGAGATAAGAAAAACAAATGGCGCAAACATGAATGAATTAAGAGGATTCTCTCAACTTCATCTCTGTAGATGTCATGTACTTTTCAGGCCAGGTCCATACGATTCCACGAAGATCGTTCTGAATTCCATAAACACCATTTAAATTGGACGTGTAACAATAATTATACCACCACGCCCCTTGGTAATCAATTGCACAGTTTCCCCCTGCAATATCATTGTCCATGTCATAGGTCGTGAAGCCTTGTGCGTTGGCCACATCGAGTCCTTCTCCTGCAGTACCAGAATATGATGAGAAATTGAGTCGGTAGCTACATTGAAAAGAAAGACAAGTAATAAACAGATTAATCTGAATGTAGTCTTGAAAAGGTCCATAAAAACGAAAATAAAAGTAAATTTTTAGAATGCGTGGGAGTGGTTGGAGTAGCACCCTTTCGCTGAAGTTTATCAGCGCTCCTTCAAGTACATGGAGAAAGTATATTTAACATTGTTCTATTACTGACCAATACAGTAGGATGAAACAAAGCAAAAAACAAACAAACAAACAACCAAAACAGTATGTTGATTATGAGTGAGCAAGGTTTTCGCATGTATGGACACACTACTTTCCATTGTAAAATCGTGAGGAGGGGAGCCATACGTTTTAGGATAGTGACCATTCTAAAATTGATTCAATGTATTGTCAGAAGGAAGGATGGGGTACATTTTTGAAATGTTAGTGTTAACCGGGAATATGAATCAAATGAGAGCCTTGAATAAGATATTAATTTCATAATGTGATTGCAATAGCAAAACCGTTTTCTTAAGATAGCAACTAACAAAATTGAGAACATCCCTTACAGCAAGTTAATTTTTTTAAAGTAAACTCTTACAAAAGTGTACTAAAAGCATAGGCATTACAGCTATAAAGTAGATATTCTGTGATATGTGTATCAGAAAAAACATTTATTCCATAACAAGAGTATAGCATACTGAGGATATTGTTAAAATCGGTAGCAACAAAGGTAGGTACATCACAGCTTTTGTAAGTAGATTTTCAATCGGTTTTACAGTGTAATAATTATGTCATCCTGAAGTGAGAAATCATATTTATATATATAATTAAACAGTAACAAATAAAAACCCTTGAGGGTTCGGTTCGCGAAGGAGGATTTTTTAAAATCATAATTATATATCGAATGATTGTATAAGAAAATGGAAATGATGGAGCCATACTTTGTGATAGGGCTTCCAATGCTGAATTGACCATAATGGGCATAGACTTGATTGTTGCTGTAATCCACCAAATCGATCCGTAGCTCGACGCCATCTTTGGCCAGCAAATAGATAATATCTAACCCCAACCAGTATTCGCCGCTGACGTCACCAAATCCTTGGACATACTCAGCGTATTTCCGGTAGAAATTGACAGACCCATCATAACGTTTCTGCATTGTATGATAAATAATGTAGAATTCATTGATGAAATCGGTATCATTAGTTTTAGACTTTGAAAAAAAACTTAATCTAAAGGGCAGCTTCAGAATATACCTGAACAAAAGAATGTTATTGGGGAAATTGTGTAATTTTTTTTTTACAAACTCCGCCCATTACAGCTATAACTCCCCTCCCATCAGCCTACTCGCCTCATGGAGACCCCTCCCATTATCCTACTCGCATCAGGGAGACCCCTCCCATTATCCTACTCGCATCAGGGAGACACCTCCCATTATCCTACTTGTATCAGGGAGACCCCTCCCATTATCCTACTCGCATCAGGGAGACCCCTCCCATTATCCTACTCGCATCAGGGAGACACCTCCTATTATCCTACTCACGTCAGGAAGACCCCTCCCATTATCCTATACTCGCATCATGGAGATCCCCTCCCATCACCCTACTTGCATCAGGGAAATCCCCTTCCATCATAATAATTCTACCCCCATCAGCGACATCCCCTCCCATCATCCTACTCGCATGATGCGAGCGAACGAATGTCGTTTTTATTGCAGGCCTAAACAACACGACATGGCATCATTTGACATTATTATAAACTTCATTTACAGAAGAAAAAAAAAGATAGTGGAATGCACCTGAAAAACTGTCCATCCTCCGCCGTCGCTGATCATATCACAGTTAACATCGATCGCATCCGCCCCACTAGGAATGATGGAGTAGACACCACTTGTTTGGTAGCCCATTGAATGCAGCATCTTACACGAACTCACATTTGAAGTCTCTGTTGTAGTCTCTGTTGTAGTTTCTGGCAATATATTTGTCGTACTCTCTGTTGTAGCTTCTGGTGAATTATCTGTCGTGCTCTCTGTTGTAGTTTCTGGTGAATTATTTGTCGTACTCTCTGTTGTAGCTTCAGGTGAATTATCTGTCGTACTCCTTGTTGTAGTTTCTGGTGAATTATTTGTCGTACTCTCTGTTGTAGCTTCAGGTGAATTATCTGTCGTACTCCTTGTTGTAGTTTCTGGTGAATTACCTGCCGTGCTCTCTGTTGTAGTTTCTGGTGAATTATTTGTCGTACCCTCTGTTGTAGTTTCACGTGCCTCTGCCGTGCTCTCTGTTGTAGTTTCAGGTGAATTATCTGTCGAACTCCTTGTTGTAGTTTCTGGCGAATTATCTGCCGTGCTCTCTGTTGTAGTTTCAGACGAAGTGCTTGTGGAACTCTTTACTGTCGTTTCTGGCGATCTTGTTGTTGAACTTCCCACTCCAAAAATTTCTTGCGAAGGTGAATCATCTGTCTGAGTCTCTATAATGTTGACATAAATAATAATATTAGTTCAAATTCTAGATGCTTGCAAAACTCATAAGCAAAACGAAAACAACATTCTTACAGTAAAAATAGGACATAACAAACCCACTTTGGATTACAAAAGCCCCGGTCATTGGCAAGTACAGCACTGTGTACACATCTCCCCTCGATTGGATGATTCGTAACTAGCCCATGGTGGCTTCCATTACCTCATCTGTACACCCGATCTGATGCAAGTGGAGTGGACAAGCGACAATTAAAATGTAAAAAAAGATTGAGACCACTGAACTGGACTATTCAGCTCAGATCAGTAATCAAATTAAGGATCGTTTATTTGGACACTAATTGGGATAAGTATTTCCAATACCATTCTTCCATATTACCAACCTTTTGAACAGAACGTTTTTATGTAACTATACCTACCATGTGTACCCGGCAGAGTGCACATAAAATGGCGCCAGGATGCAAGTCTTCCAAGAATAGGGTCGGAATCGTTCGGCGTTGATACCAGCCTTGGAACAAGTTGTATAGATCTCCCGCCAGGTAGAGTAATATTGCCACACAATGCAGGGACCGGATCGCATAAATTTCTGCATTCAACGACTACCACGTGAAAATCAAGAATTTGAGAAATATTGTTCAGGTAATTCGCATCAAACCTTTTGTTTCAACACAGAAACTCATTAATATCTTCAATTATCAAAGGTACTATTCAAAACGATACTCCCGTTGTTGGACTTTGCATGTATAGAATATTGTCAACACACGTACACAACCAAGAAAAGCGGCTTACTTCGAATCATCGGGTCATCGCGTCGGAGTCGGTGGTCGCGCTATATACCCGACTTTTTGTGAAACCATGCCCTTTCCACGAATTTTTCGAGGGTTATGTTTGTGAAATAAACCCCTCTCATCTACAAATGGTCTGGTTCAATTTACCCGACGCTTTGTGAAAACCCCACGGCAAATCTACGAAAGGTCACGTCATCTTCCTTTTTCGTTTTATGAAAGGTATTTGTTACCCGACCACCCTAGCGGATGCGATGGACCGATGCTTCGAGGTAAGCCAGGAAAGCTAACATAAATTTGGTTACAGCGAGTGAGAAACATCCTTTTCAAGTTTGCACCCAGTCTCAAACGTGTGAACCTGCATGCCTTATGAAAAATATCCGTAAAGGAGCCTAATTTACTTGAAAAATATGAATTATAAGTCACAATAATCACAATTCACACTTACCATGAAAGAAACTCGCCATGATAACGAACAGAAACATAAGCAGACCCTATGTGATGTTTCAGACAAATCGATTAAGTTGGAGAAGAAAGAAGAAAAAAAATCAAATCATTTTAGGATATGGTCAAGGGTAAAGTATAATTATAATTGATACGTTTAATTTAAATTAAAATGAGATGAATGTCATTAAAGTCAGTTAAAGTAGATATTCATTGATTTAAAAAACTAACTTTATTTTCATTAATGATCATTATAAATTACAAAACGCTTTAATACAGCCCCGGCATAGCACCTGAAGAGCTCTCCGAACGCTGCTGAGATGTGTGACTTCACAGTCACAGACTTCTTTCTCTTACTTCACTACCGTCAGGCTAAATGTATAATCTATTGCCTCACTCTAAACCCCGCGTATGATTTTATTTTGATGACAAATGCAGCGATACAAAAATAAAGGAATCTGTCGCTTGTAAACAAAATAAGACGCCATTGTATATTCAACTGCACACACCGCGGTATGTTCGGCGTTTCAAGAGGGAACGAATGTCGTCCTTAATATCATTCCGGGGTTTTTTCAATTTGAAAGTCTGGTTTCTTTGATTGTTAATTAACCCCTATCCTGTGTATTTACAAACAAAAGATTTTAGTTATCAGAATCGGTTTCATATCCCCTTTTGAATGGTTTGAAATGCCATCACATTTATATACACTAAACTCATTATAATTTGACAAATAATAGCTTTGCAATTATTACGATTCTTTATGGGATGTCGTCTGCTTGGGCAGTATTGGTCCATATTGTGACGTCATTAAAACATCGTTATTTTTTCTGGCGAATCTCTCGTAAACCCCAGCTGCTATGGAGGTGGTTGTATTTTTATTTGTATAAATCACCCGATATGTAGTTGACCTAAAACTTGTACGATGGCCATCTGTTAGCTTACCAGTTTCTAGTGATACATTAGTTGACATATTTGTGATTTTCTTTTAATTTCCACTTTAACATAAATACTTCCAAAACACACACACACACACACACACGCACACAAACGCACACACACATACACACCCTGCGGCCGCGATGTAATCAAATAATGTTCAGTTTTATTTTTGTATTCGCTATTTTAAGAATTGTGAACACGACTCTTTTCAGCTGACCATATCAATCTACTCAAGTTCCTGCATGTGCAACTTTAAAAAAAAAAAAGAATGAACATATTCCTGATAAACATATTTCTCTATTTCAATTATATTCAATCTTCACAATATCTACAACGATAACAACAGGTAGACAACGTAGAATACACACTATTATTTTCAGTTTTTACTTTTTTTAGTGGGTTGTCCATCATTATGAGAAAAGTGCATATTCGCTGCTCCCGCTATCTAAACTAGAAGATAGCTTTTTCATTTTGTTTGATAATCATATTCTTTTTAACTCAACTCTGTAGAGATGTTTTTCTAGTACAGTGTATCAGCATAATGTTCATGCAGAAAGCCTCAATTCATCAAAAGATATGCAGCAATAATGAGTCAGTGAATTTACTTTCGATATACAACTTCCATCTTGATATTTTTCAGTAATGTATCGCCAGATTTACTTGCACCGTCATTGCCAGATTTTTACCGTAGCATGCTAGAGGCTTGGCTGGGGACAAAAGCCTTTTTGCTTATATAAGAACGAAATTTCAAAAAGAAATCAAATTATTTACAATAATAGATGTATCCGCATTCAGGGGCAAATATATTTCCATGAAGACTTATTTCTGAAAAATGTTTTTAAAATACATCATATTGTTGATAAGAAAGGTGAATTGAAATCTATCACAGAATTTAAGAAAATGGGTTTAAATAACATTGAAATAAATATAATAAAACAGTTATATGAAGGCATTCCATTCTCATGGAAAACTCTTTTGAATATAAAATTATATGAACAACCTTGTGAGGATACCGAATTAAGTTTAGAATTCATTATTAACGGAAACCCTCACTCTTTGCAAGGCATAACATCAAAATATATCTATAGTACATTGTTAAAAATGAGAACGGAAAAATCTTATGCTACATGCAACTTAGAACGTACATACAATATGGTCGAAAATGACACGAGAACAATTTTCTTAAGACCCCGAAAATCCACTCTAGACAAAAAGCTGAGGGAATTTCAATATAAAATGTTATATAATTTAATTTATACAAATAAGTATCTATACACTTTCAAACATGCAGTGAGCAATCTTTACTCCTTTTGCAATAAACACGAAGAAACCTATGAGCATCTGTTTTTTACCTGTGAAAAGGTAGCAAATATTTGGAAGGAATGCGGTGACCTTTTTGCTTTATCAGCGTTAAAAAATCTACACTGGCAAGAAATTCATATCGGGATAAAAAGATCCAATGCGGGAGAAGAACAACTGTTAAATCACATTATTCTTTTAACAAAACATATGATTTTTAAATATAGTTAAACTAAAAATAGACCCCCAATTCCTCAAGAAATTAAAAAAAGAATTATAGAAAATAAGCAAGAAGAAAAGGAATTAGCGGGGGAGAGAGGCACTTTAACACTTCACTTCAGAAAATGGGACAATTACTTCCACAGTTACGGACGGCGAGGCAAATATTTTTTTGTTTTAAAATATATAATTTGGTCTTAAGGAAAAGGAAGAGACAGGATTTCCAACAAATATGTAGATGTGAATGTTCGGGAAGGGAGGGGGGATTTGTTGAGCTTTGGAATGAAGGGGGGAGGGGGATATGCAGTTTTGTATGTGTGTCTGAGTATGTGAGCGTGTGTGGTGTGTCTGTCTGTCTGTAGGTAACTCTTTGATTTATAATATTCGTTCAGTATAATTAATTTGAAAACATTATGTACTGTGTACTAAACTATCTTATATATTTTGATATGTTATGTAAATCAATGAAGCTGTATGTTTGTTTGTTATATATTTTGTACTGAATGAATACAACAAAAAAATGCTACCAAAAAAAAAAATCTTTGAAACTCAATCGAATAATTCCCTCGATTTTAAAAGAAATTTAAACATTAAGTGCTAAACTTTTGCTCAGAAACCGCGAAACATTTTCTTATGAGTGATAATAAATATCAGAACAAAATGTATGCAACTTACCATAATGATATACACAGTGTTTCTGCCGTGTCCACAAAACAAATCCACGGTTTATATAGATTCTTTTTAACAAAAACGTTGCCAAAATATTCTCGACTACATAAATTCGTGAAGAGATTAACAATCTAGGTCTAATCAGGAAATACCACGTATGAATTTATTATAAGTAAATCTCTCTGTACACGCAACCTGTATGTCAACTAAAATGACCAATGAGGAACGAGCACTTCTAATCAATCGCGTATGACCCTGTGAATACAGAGGACAATGATCCTACAAATTAGTTTCTGAATTAGTGGCCTTTTATGATGGATGCGCGCCAAAGGAATATGCATTTTTCATGTTCAAGGTTTTTTGTCAGAGTAAAGCTATTATATAAATCTCAATTAAAGGTTCCATACTGTTGGCCTGTATTATTGTGAATTTGAAGGGCTTGCTTATAAACTTTGTATGAGCTAGGCCATATTTTGTATAGAAGTAATTTTTTTTCTAGAATTTTGTGGATAATTTTTTCTCTCAGGTTTTTCTCTGACTGTTGTTTGCAGCCTGTCAAAATGAGTTTTGAAATATGAAATTAATCGCCCTAATTTTGTAGTAAAAGGAAGCAGTGGAAACAGAGCAACATTATAAGTTTGACCAGGGAGATGTGGTTTGACACTGTAATTAGTTGAATTAGTTTCATTCACATATAGTTTACTGGGTCAACTTCAGCGGGAATTACCAATTATGTTTCTTTACCGATATAGTCACTTTTATGCTTCCAATGAAAACAACGACTCAACTGAACGTATGGTTTCAGGACAATAAGACCAATTATGATTATTACATCGAATATGTCGATAATGATAATAGTTAGAGAAAAGGCATTTATAGCTTTGTTACAATTTGTAATAATAATAATGCAGGTATGTGTAACGCGCAACAATCGGGAGTGACGACAGGGATCACTTGTTTGGGAGTGAATATCGATTGCTTTTAGAGTGTAAGCGGACATTTTTTTATTTTTTTTTGGAGTCCAAAAAAAATCGCAACGACTCAGCCATTCTTCAAATCTTATCTTGATCGAGATACCGGTAACCCGACTCTTTTATAGCCGAGTGGCGACCTATCTCATTTGAATTTTAAATTACTTTGAATTTCTTTTGTGTGAAGCACTGCCTTAGCACCTGGAAGATGCATACACATTCAATACACTTTCTTTGTACATAGTACACAATCTCTTTCCACCTTACATTCTCCAAAAAGATGAATACTTCTCAGATCCCGGCTCTTTTATAGCCGAGTGGTGACCTATCTCATTTGAATTTTAAATTACTATGAATTTCTTTTGTGTGAAGCACAGCCTTAGCACCTGGAACGCTGGTGCGCCTGCGCATGGAGCGCCAGCACTACCGGTGTTTCTTCAAGTGCTAAAACAGGCAGGGTCACACTTTTGGTGCAATTTCTCAAATAGCACGTGTTTCCAGCACTCATTTTTCTGCTCGTCATCGCTTACCAAACGCTGCATGCACGCACAGGGCTACACTTGGCACGTGTGGTGCAAATTTGTACCCAGCACCCGTGATTTAGCACTTCATTTTTTAGAGTGTATGATAGGCTATAAAAGGGGCAAAAAACAGAATTGAAATCGGTCAATGCGTTGTGATTTTATACCATTTTTTTGATATCGCAAAATTACCGAAAAACCTGCCAGAAATGGTCAAATTGGCAAAAATGGCAAAATTCGACAAAGTTGACAACTTAATTCATCACTTTCTTGGACACAAATAATAAATTAAATTATCAGACACTAAAATATCATCTTTGTGGTAAAAAATACAAAAAAGAAAATTCATATATCCGTTTTGAAAACAGAAGCCAACAAAATAAGTCATTTTTGCGAATCTGCAGA